TATATATATATATATATATATAATTGGAATTAATTATCCCCATTTAATTAATAGTATCTCCACCCACCCACCCCACCTCACTTGTAAAAAGTTTTCAAAATTTGAAAATTAATGATAACTCTGCAATCCGTTGCAATAGTGCATGTTAGAATTCAACAATGGGGTTTAGGATTCAATTAAGAAATTAAGATTTTGAAGGAAAATCACTAATGTGTTAGAAAAATACAAGATTGATTCAAATAAAAACAAGAAAACAAATTGTTTGGAATGATGTCAAGAATCAATAGTAGGTAAATTAAGAGCCTGTTTGAACCAATTATAATTCAAGAATGCATTTTGAAATTGTAAATTAATGGAGAATGTGCATTTAAAAATGAGAAAATATTTTGGGTTTGCGTATTTTATTATTTTATTGAAAAATGTGTAGTTGAAAAAACAATGCATTTTGAAAATAATGTGGATCGGACAATGGCTAATTATAGAAAAGAAAAAAAAAACTTATATATTTAATTAATTTAATATAATTATGGCGTTGGAAAAGAATCTGAACTCATATTACTGTCAAAATAAATTAACAGATCATTGGCAATATTCTTTGCTTGAAGTCATTTACAGGTAATCCATTGTTAAATTAGAAAGTGGATTGGAGTTGATTTGTGTAGTGATGGTAGCAACGTTTTCGGCATTGTGTGGTGGTAATAGTGGTGCATTGTATGTGACCAAATTTGTGATTAACTACGTTATCTATGATCAGATTTATTGTCTGTGACCATTCCTGTGTTATTTGTGATTATACGTGATCAAATTTGTCTTTGGTGTGACTATTTGTGACAAAGCCTATTTAATTTGTGATTGTTTGTAATCAAGTCACTGACCTATGTTATATGTAACTAACTGTGACCAAGTTCGTCTTCATTGTGACTGTTCGTGACCAGGCTAATATTAATTGTGATGGTATGTGACAAATCACAACTGATCACAATTAATACAAAATTGGTCGCAACCAGTCACAATTAATACAAACTTGGTCACAAAGAATCATTACAAATAAATTTGCACACACCGCAGATCAACACCACAATACATACAGTCACAGACGGTCACAATTGACATGAACTTGGTTACACCTAGTCACAATTAACACAAACTTGGTCACGTAAACTCACCACAAAATAAATCCGCACACACCGCATGCTAACACCATAACCTATCACCACTGTAACCTAAAATAGCAAGCCATAGCTTGTCTGGAATTTTTCAATGCAACTATAGTATCAACTACTAGTTTTGATACAAACGAAATACCATTCAGCACTAATTATTGCGTAGTGCATTCAAGTAACAGCCCAGAAAACTAAAATTCATCAGTTGTAAGTGATTTGAATCCGAAAACTATTTCGGTAACCCCATAATTGAGAAGGTCCAGAGCTTCGAAGCAAACTCCGACGACTTCTCTGAATGCTTACATAACAAATTTCCGAGCCTAGTGCAGAATCACACCAGTAGCAGCCACACTGAGAAACTCCCAACTACCACACTACAACTGCCATCTCTACCTGTACAAACACCAGCATCACCACCTACAAACAACCATCAACAACCAAATCATCGTTGCCCCGAAATCACCACCAACTGCTGCAGTGGCAACGATCAACATCGCTCTCTCAAATTGCGCGGAGCTGTCTGAAATCACCACTAAATGTCATGTCGCTACAGCGTCGAGGAACAAGATCATAAGAGAGATGATGGAGAGAGAGAGAGAGAGAGAGAGAGAGAGAGAGAGAGAGAGAGAGAGAGAGAGAGAGAGAGAGAGAGAGAGAGAGAGAGAGAGAGAGGTCAAATTGCGCGGAGCTGTCTGAAATCACCACTAAATGTCATGTCGCTACAGCGTCGAGGAACAAGATCATAAGAGAGATGATGGAGAGAGAGAGAGAGAGAGAGAGAGAGAGAGAGAGAGAAGGAGAGAGTGAGATAGAGAGAGAGAGAGAGAGAGTGAGAGGAGATGGGAGAAATGAACTGGGGTGTCATGTCAGGGTGGGGATTGAGATTTGGCAAGGTATGGTCATCCAAAATCTCCAAATTTTTCCCAATTCGCGCAGAGGCCAATTAGGAACCTCAAGCAAAATTGAGTTCTCAGCCTCACTACTCAATCTATTTGGCAGGGCATGGTCATCTGCCTCTTCAATAACTTGTCTGGCTACTTCGTCTGAGGATACCATTACATTTCTACTGTCTATAGCAGCTGCAGACCCATTATTAACGCCATTTTGTTTCTCACTTTCCACATCAAAAACTAGATTTGACTTATTATTCACCTATTTCAAATTATTGACCCTTGCAGCGCCTATCTTGAAGATCATATCAAATTACTCCAACTCTATCACTTTTCACAGAAGGTTAAAGAAGGAAAATGGAGTTTTCAACTTTCTGTATAATCTTCAGAATTTCCTTTTGGGTTCAAATCCACATGCTCTCTCATCTGCCTCCTTGACTCGGGTTGTAGATCACGTCGGAGACGATGACAATGGCCGGAGTTGTGGTGGTGACGAGCGGATTCGTCGATAGAGAGAAAATAGGGGAGAGAGAGTGGGCAGCCAAATTAGATGTGTGAATAGGGAGTGGAATTATGGATAGAAAGTAGAGATGGCAACGGGGGCGGGTTCGGGGGTGGACCTGCTCCACCCCGCCACTCCCCCACCTTGTTGGAAGATAAAGCATGAGCTGAGGAGAATGAGGAACTAAGGAAATGAGCTAGCAGCCTAGTCATCCATCCAGGTTCATCATCCAGCTTCATCAGCTAGCATTGCTGAATGTACAATGGAAGGTCCTAGAAGACTGAATGCTAAATGATCCGTTTATAGTGCACATGGAGGTTGTTAGGAAAATATTCTTTCATTTTGTAACTGATTTTGTCCTTTTCTTACTTAAGGTGTATATATGTATGTGCAGTGACAGACTCAGGATTTCGAGTTAGCACGGATGACCGTGGATCGTCGACTGTTGTCGACAATAAAATATTAAGAGTCCCATTTGATGCTTT